ATCCTTATGCTAACTTAATGGTAGAGACCTATGGGAATAGTTTGAAAGCAGAAACCCTGAATTCAAAGAAGAATGTGAGGAGATCAATAAATAAGTTGAACTTATCCAGAAGAAAGTAGCTGAACTTGATTAGGAAGAAGGGAAACCTGACACTATTTAAAGAAAAACATGTTATAAGTAAATCAGAAGAGTATACTCCTACTTTCCCCTATGGAAGAACAAATGGAGAAAATGTCAAACTCATGACAAAATCATGAATCTGGTGCAAGAATTTAGAAAATCATTAACTATACAAATGATGTTAAAGGATCTCTAGTAAAGAAAACTCAAAAAACTCTAACATCACAGATTAAAGAAATTGCCAAAGTAACAGACAATGTTATAAAACAACCCTGCGAAAAATACAAACACAAAAACCTATAACTCCCACCAATTCCAGTTTGAAATTTAATACATATTATCATTATTATTATTATTATTATTATTATTATTATTATTATTATTATTATTATTATTATTATGAAATACTTGACTTTAAATAAAGATTATCCTACTGCCACTCAGAATAATGAAATTAGTTTTGAAAAAGGAAATCACATTTGATTTGAATTAATTCTACAAGGTATGCAAATTTTAATTTTGAGCAAAAAAGATTCGTGTGAAAATTTCTCAATCATTGGCGATTCTTATCAATTTATTTTTAATCAAAAGTTAGGCATATATATTCTTTTTGGATTATGAAATGGTTGAATGGAGGGATAAAATAAAACTTATATTACACACAGACAATAAAAATCAATTACCTATTTTAATGTCTTATTTTGAATATATGATCTTTTAGGTGTATTTAGATATAAGCAAGGAGATGCAAGATTGATAAATGAAGTAACAAATAATATAGGAGAGTTTTAATTCTTTTTAATGAACTACCATATGGCAGTATTATTTCATTCTAAATTAAATACACATATGCGGATTAGGTATAAAATGATTGTCATTAAATAAAATTTCATAATTTAAGATTAGTATCCTAATGGTTTATGAAAGTTATACTAATTGTTAGGCATATTATTTTTTGTATGCTCATTGATATCCCTTCATTTAAATTTACTTTATCTATTGCTGGAAATAACATTTAATTAAAATATTTAGTAATCATTTAGCAACTTGGACTAACGGGAATATGCATTTGACCTATGGCTATTGCCCAAATAATTTTAAACTATGGGAATTGTCGTTTTTTGATATCTTTTGATCATACCAAATGAAAGTTAAATATGTTATCCAACCTTTTATAAATACATAGATGATTAATGTTAGCTTGCACAACTTCATATAAAAATTAATGGTTCTTATTGTCAAGGTTATTAAGATGAAACACCATGTAAAAATACCATATTCTTAGATTCTAAATATTTAATTTATAAATACTAATCTTATTATTAATATATACTATAATTTTAACAACACACTCTTATCTCTAATAAGGGATAACTTTTATGAAAGGTTCTGATATCTTATATTCTATATCTTACGGAATTTACTTAATTTTTGGGGGCCAATTATTTTGGCTTAAACCAAGTTTTCTCGGGTGCATTAAATTATTAAACCACTCCATAGTATTATAATAGGATTTGTATATATTATTTAAGCAAAATTATTTGGAAAATAACACCAATTATAAATTCAAAACAAGACAATCATTATATGATTTAAGCTTATTTTTGTTTTTTTATACTTTTTTTAATAAAGGAAATATTATAAGAAAAAAACCTCATATGTAATTAATTATGTTCTATAAATGAGTTGAGTATAACTATTTTCATAGTTGTCTCAAGGATTTAAATTCAGTTATTTAGTTGCTATCATTAATATAGATATTTAAAAAAAATTACAGTAACATATATTTCACAGGAGTGAACTAAATTGAAGTAATGTTAAACAAATAAAAAAAACCTATTCAAAGATATTCATTTAGAAAATCAATTCCTTTCCTTAAAATATGATATGATGCAAAATTTCAAAACTAACATACACTTAAGACTTAGTTAAAGAAATTTTACATAAAACTGCCATTATTGAGTTTTTGTAATTTACAAATTCTTTCTTTATAAATTAAATTTTAGATATTCTAGATTACATGAGTTTATGTGGGAATTTAATATATAAAAACACAAATGATTATTAAATATTTTATTATTAATTTTAATAGAAATCGAAAATGTAGATTAGATGCACTTAAGTTGATCATCAAAATCAATATATAACAGGCTTTTGCATAGACAACACATGTCCAAATTAAAGACCTTATTGTCATTTTTGCTTGCCTAGCCATGTTTAACATATTAATAAGTTAACATCTTAAGAATTGTTATCTGGATGGATTAAGGAAAAAAGTCTTATAATTCAAAATGTATAAAAGAATATTTAAGAATGTGAAATTGCCCTTAATAGTCTTATAAATGTGATTCTTCCTTATAATAATTTTAATATTTAATAATTACCAGATTTAGGATTATCACAAATTGATTTATTTATAAAAGGTTTATGTTTAATGGGAGAATGCGATGAAAAATTATTTAAACAACTTATACAATCAATTGAATAAACTAAATCAATTGTAAATGAAATACTAAAAAAAATAAAGAATCAAAAAATTATAAAGTAAAATGATAATTTATAAATTCCGCAATGTATTGTAAATTAATCATTTAGAATAACCGAAGAATCTCAGTATATTAGAACCAAATCTGAACCCATTCGCCTTTGATCTCATGAAAGAATGTTCTATTAAATAAGATGAATGGTGTAGTGCTATTGCATTTAATAAAGATTAATCAATCGTGGTAGCTGGATGTAAAAATGATATTAATGTATTTCAACATTTATAAGGGAAACTGAATTAAATATAATAGTTAAGTGAACATACTAATTATGTATATACTTTAAATTTCATGAAAAATACAAATAATTTCGTATCTGGAAGTTTTGATAGTTCAATTATAATATGGTAGTTGATTGAAAATAATTAATGGAAATGTTAATAAAAATTGAATGGACATTCAGATTCTATATATTGTTTATAAATAAATAATACTGATGATCTAATTATATCAGGTAGCGTAGATGAAACTATAAAATTTTGGATGAAATAGGATTAATGGTTGTGTTAATAAACCATAACTGATCATACTAATATTGTTTATTCATTAAGCTTAAATGAACAATAAAATAGATTGATATCTTGTTCAGATGATTCATAAATATTAGTAATAGCATAGTAAATGTTGGATAAAAAATGGAGTGTTACATAAAGGATAAAAGTTGATTAATGGGGATATAAATTATGTTTTATTGATGATAATCAGTTTACATTCTAACCATATTGTAAAGAATAAATGGATATATATGAGATGGATAGTAATACTAAATAGTATAGGAAGACTAAGGAAATTGCTGTAAAGTTTGGTTCGGGTATTGATAATTGGTAATTTCCATAATAATACTTAAAGTCAAAAGGACTCCTAGTAAATAAGAATGGTTATTATGTTAATTTAATAAAGAAGAAATAAAATGGGGAGTTTATAATTTAACAATCCATTGAGTTTAATACTTATATCAAAAGAAATATAAATAAGAAAGTGTAGAGAATTATGAATATTATAATTAATACATATAATATGTAAGAGTTCCTAATTTTAATATAATCATTAATTAACTAAGAATAAATCTCAATGAATTAAAGACTTCAGAGTATTAAAAGTTGATTAGTACATTTAAGTTTAATCAGTTATTGGAAATCCATTTTTATATTCTAGTATACTAGAAATACATCTATGTCAAGTAAGTTTATTAAGACATGAGTTATGGTAGAAAGTAGAACAGTGAGTCAAAGTTTATTTTTAACTATTAGTGAAAGCCTATGATAAATTATAATGTACATATTTTATGAAATTTTTTAGAGTGCGCCATTCAAGGTCAATGTAATATCAAAGTATCAAATGGAAATATAATATTGATATAAAGAATATCATATCCAAGGAAGGCATTGATGTAAAGAAATAATTTGAAAATATTTTATAATTGCTAAAAAATAATGATTGAGGAAAATAAACAAATTCACATAAAAATAGATTAATATAAATTTTAAGGTAATATGCATCTTATTAATTCATATTAACCTTATCTTGGCTGATATTTATAAATGATAATAATAGTCCTAGAATCCTTTTAAGGGTTTAATGTTCCTTTTTACTTCATTTTATCTACTATTAAGATTAAAATAAAGATAAATTAGGTAGTTATGTAAAAATATTATATGTAGCATCTATTAAGTTTGAGAATATTATCTTTATATTTTTAAGTATTTTCTTTTTATAAATAAAACTAAATAATTTTAGAATGATATTTAAATCTTATTTTTAAGCATCTTTTTTAGGTTAATGTGATTTTTATTTGTTTAGGCCTATTATAATCATTTAAAGTAACCATTTTAAAGTTGTTTTAATTTTAAATATGAGAAACCATGGAAAGACTTTTATTTTCACTAATTTTGAGCAGAAAAAAACAGCAAATTTTGAGACTATAATTATAAAAGACATCCTAAAGGGCTGATGAAGAGGAGAAACTCATATCATGAATAAATTTAATATCCTTATTAAAAATGATATGAAATGTTCAAAAATAAATAGCAAGATTGAATTTTGCATAATTAGTAAAAAAATAAAAATATAACTAATATATACATATTAAAAAGGGATGTATAAAATAAAAAACTATCTCTAGAAAGAAATCCATTTATTTAATGAATCATTTACTTTAAATATTACGCTTTTTATAGAATTCAAATTTTTTAGTGTAAAAATAGAAATAAACAAAGATTTCACTAAGTACATAGGAGAATAAATGTACAAAAGGGGATAACATAGGAGAATAACTGTACAAAAGGGGATATTTCACTTAGATTTATTCAAGAAATATTATAATTAAAATTCCATTTAGTAATTCATTTTTGTATGAAATGAGGTAAAAATTAAATGAATTAAAAAAAAAATCCACTTCTTAATTTATAATATTTCTTGAAAAATCCTGAAAAAATTGTATTTTATATTTAGAACCTTTTTATTCTATAATTACTTCAATATATTTAAAATTAAAATTTTTCATTCTTAACTTTAAAAAGGACTTAATCAATTACAAATATAGATACCATTTAACAATAGTTCATCAAGATTATGGGGAGAAATTTATATCAATTTTAAAGACATTATATATATTATGAAAAATATATTTTATATCAAGAAACCATTTGAAAAATTAAGTGTGTTACCTTTCTGAATTTTTTATTTTATTTTTTTTTCTTATATTAAATGCATTTTTATTTTATTTTTGAATAAATCATAATAACATATTTAATGAATATCCACAATAACCCAGATATTAACAAATAGATTTAAGAAAAACCTAAGGCTATCTGATTTTATCCACTGATCAAGAAACTGTAATCTTGTAAATGAAATATTGAAGTAAAAGTAAATACTATTATTGAGATTTCTTATATAATTATTTGCATTTTTACCAAAGTTGATAAATTCAAATCTACTGATATTAATGCAAGTAAGTAAATTAGATTTGTTGTGGTTAACATTAGTAATTGAATAAATTAATCATTTTGAAAACATATTAAGTAATAACAAAAGAAAAATTGTTTAAGTAAGTAAAAAGCCTTGTATCTATCATTCATACTTTATTTTATTTTTTTAAATGAATGTTTTAATAATAGGATAATCGTTAATGCTAAGGCTGCCAAAAAAAAATATGAGAGGGCAGATTATATTAAAGAAATTTTATTGTTTCTTGAATTTGAGGTTAAAAATAAAAATGTTTTAAAAAGTAAATCATAGGCATTTGCTAACAATATATTTTATACACCATTTTAATTAAATTAATTTACAAGGATTAAAATTTGATGAAAAATATTGTAAATGAAATTTATGACTTTAAATAGAAATTAATATCTCCAACTATTGGCATTAATAAATAAGAAACATCTAGTTATATTTTTTTCAAATAATTTAATGCTAATATAACAAATAGTATTCAATGAAATTGCTAATACAATCATTGCAATGACTTAAATGAAAAAGAATTACAAATTAGTAATTAAATTAGCATTTAAACTATAAAATTTTAATTTACCATAAGACTATATAAAATCTTAATAGATATATTTTTCAAAGATTTCACCAACTGAAAAGAAATCTAAAACTGGATTAATGGATATTAGATTAGTGGATTCAAAAAAAAGGTAAAGATTTTCTGGATAAATAATATTAATGTATTTTAAATATGCAAGATACTATAAGTTATCTAAAATTTCAATAAGCATTTAATAATTTCCAGACATTATACTAATTACACATATTATTCCCTAACCTATAATCATAACTTCTTAATATTCAGAAAGTTTTTTAGTTTTATCAATATCAGCTTTATTCATTTAAATGTATTATTTAAGTAACATTTTTAATGATGGATTAAGTAATTTCATTTCATTTTCATTAAATGCTTCGTTCGTAAGTTATATATTAGATTATGCAAAACTATTATTAGTTGAAATAAAAAGGCTTATTTCGAGAAGAAATTAAAAATTTAGAACAGTATCAATAGTTGGTTAATAATTTGATTCTAATTTAATTGCATAATATTCAGTTTTTATGTCATCAATACTAATATCAAATAAAGATTCAAGTTAATAATTATTCTTGAAATAAATTGGTTAGGTGAATGATATATCAATGTAATATTTATTAAATGTTTAGTTTAAGAATTTCAATTTCATTTATGGAGATTCATAATATTGGCATTCAGATAATCCATTATCATTTTCAATACATTTATAATCAACTTCTATTTTACAACTAGAAGAACAACCATCAGCATCAATTATATTGCCATCATCACATAATTCATCTTAATTTTTTTTACCATTTCCACAATATTCATAGCATTAATTATATTTTAATTGTAATTATTATTCACATTCATAACAAATACCATCAATACAATTAACACAATTAAGTGGACATGAATATTGACAATTGTAACATCCATCAAATTATATGTTATTCCCATCATCACAAAGTTCTGATTATTATTTAATACCATCACCACAAATTTAATCTTAAGTATCATTAAAATTAATTTCTCCATTTAAGATATCATCTACACATTTACCTTGAATACATTCTTTACAATCTTTTGAACAAGCCAATTAACATTTATGATTTATTTCTACATAATTCTCATTACAAATTAAACATTCCTTATTATTTAAACAATATTAACAATTTACAGAACAATATATATTACAATTTAAGCAATCTTCTAAATTTGAATCACATTATTCTTGTGATAATATTGCTACTTGATTATCTCCACAAACTTATTTGCATTATCCATTTAAAAGTTACCACCCATCAATACATAATATACAATATGAATTTTAACATTAAAGACATTAAATCTGACAGCTTTCTTAACATTGATTACATCCAATTAAATATTCACTCAAATGAATTCCATCTTCAATTAAAAATACCCCTTATGTTATTCTAGGGATACATTAATTTTTTAATAGTAAATGATTGCCTAAACATTTCAAACATTTATTATATTGACATACTTAACAAAGAGGTGAACATAAAGATTCAAAAGTTTCAATACCATTTTAAAAAATTAATTTTTCTTGATAATATAAATGAAGTTAATTGAATTTCAAATCACCAAAAGCTAAAGAAATTTAATATTCATTTAAATTTTTTCTTAATATTAAATCTGTTCCTTGAAATAAATATTCATTTATTTGATTGCATATTCCATTTGAATAATAGTAACCTGTTATACACTCTTAACATTTACCAAATAAACAATTATAGCAATTTAAAGGACATGAAAATTGGCATTAATAACAACCATCAAATTCAATGTTATTCCCATCATCACATTATTCATTTACTATAATAAATTTGTCTCCACATAAAGGTTCACAATTATTATTTAATTCATCATAAATCCATTTATTATCACACATAAGACATTGTCCATTAACACAAAATAAACATCCTTATTAACATGATTCTTGTTTAGCAAAACAGCCATCAAAAGGTTCCATATTATCATCAATACATGAAATCAAATTAATTGGTCCTCGAAGAATTATTTTTAATTCACGAATAGCTATTCTATCATTAATACTTTAAATTTCTAATTTAATCTAATTTCTTGAATCATTAATTATTGAACTTCGATAAGGAACATATTTAACATTATTAGTAAATTCTAGTAATTATTCATCATTTAAATAAATTATAAATTTAGATTGTGCATAATTAGGATAATCAACACAAAATTGAATAATAAAGGAATTATGATCTGGTAATAAAAAGTAATTTATTGCCGATAATCCTTTATTTATTACTAGGAATTTTATTTAAACTAGATATAATTTACAAATATACATTAATTATTGGTTGTTTAAAACCGTGAAAATTAGTTTATTTTCCAACCTTCACTACCATTATCCAGATTTTATAAATCAAAATATGACTTCCAAACTATCCAAAAAATACAATCTGTGGTTTAATCTAGACAAAATAGACATCCATTGTAACATTCATCTAATTCTATTGAAAAATCAGTAATTCCCCAAAAATTCTTAAAATTTTACAATTAATATAAATACATCAGTATTACAAGAAGAGTGAAAGCTTACAGTAACTGAATTAAATGTATGCAGAGGATATTCTTTACAAATTAAAGAACTTTATTCTGTACCAATATCACCACATAAATTAGATCCTGTATTTGCTGTAACCTGCCAATAATGGACCTTTGAATCTAAAATTATATAAAAATTTTGAGAGGCTGGCCAATCATCAATTCTTAATATAAGATAATATTAAACTTCCAGTGCATGACATTAATACGTAAATGGTAATGAGGTGGCAAAATAAAATATTTCATCATTTAAGTGTCTCTTGATGAAATACATCCAAAAACTTGGTATCCTCCAAAAATGATGTTTCCTCCACAATCAGTAATATGAGTAGTTGCTCCATTATAAGGATTTATAATTGCCCATCCTAAATTAATGTTAAATATTTACCTTCGTTATTAGTTATTTAAGATGTAACAAAATTCTAAATATACTATGCCTCAACAACGATTCCTAAGCATTGAAAAAAAAGGAATTTAAATAACATTAAATATATATTAAAGAAATATAAATATCTTTATGAGTATATATAGTCGATTTAATATGACTAAACGTCGGTTATACTGTTGCTGTCCTTAAATTTCTATTATACTCATAAGGATTATTATCAAACAAGACTTATTTATCTAAAATAGTTTGATTTATTTTATTTAAGGTGACCAAGACATTTAAATAAATTTTATTTTTTATAAATCATTAATTCAATATTTTCTTAGTTATCAAAAAGGGTATGTCGAAGATGATTTTGGAATTCTATATTTATATATTTATTGATTATATAACATTAAACAGGTTCTTTTTTGTACTAATTCCTAAGAAAACTGCAATTATTATCATTTACAACAATGACATTTAAATTAAATGTGATGTTTATTGTTTAACTTTTAAAGAAATTACTTGCAATCATTGATGCGATCTCAAAGTTTAATTCTTTTTTCTTAAAAGTTTAGCATCTATGAATATGTAGGAATTTTAACTACAAATAATTAAGATCCTTGATTATTAATGATTAATAAATAAATTACAAACTAAAAGAAAATTAAATTAAGCGCTTAAAGCAAGAAGCATATAAGATAATGAGTATGAATAATCAACAAAATTTATATTTGAAGGTACATTTATTTTACGTAATTATAGAATTAAAAATTTTCTATATAAATATCACTTGGCTAAATAACTACTTCATTGTAAATTGATAATTATATATAATAATTTAAGAGATAATCATCGATTTAGTGAACCTAGGATAGAATTACTTTTTTATTTGAGATAATTAAAGAATACTCCTTTCAACCATCAATAATTTATAGATTTGTTATTTAAAAAAAATAATTCAGATTTAAGATTATTGAAAACTTACTTCAAACTTTCCTTTTTAATATAATTAAAGGAAATTTGTGGATTCATTTTCAATAATTTCTCATAAGACTATCCATGACTTTTAGGATCAATATAAGGTAGCTGTTTCCGATTTAGTGGATTATTTTTTTGGATTCAGCTTAAATTCTTTTTAGAAATTCTAAATTATTCAATAAAAGAAATGTGATTATTGAAAACTATATTTTTTATAATTTGAGTGGATAATATAAATACTATTTTAATTTTGATATGATTATTCTATGAAAATAAAGCTGGAGAAAATTAATTTTGATTAGGTTCTAAATTCTGTAAAATAATCTCACATGTAAACTGAACTCAAATATCTATAAGGCTATTACCAAATAGTTCTTAAAATACAAGGAATATCAATTTAATCCACCTTATTAGCTATTACAATTATAATTATTTGTTTTAAAGGATTTTAATAATGGATTATATTTATTATAAAAGTAACTAAAGGGTTATATCACTTTAGTAAATTTAAATGATTAAATTTTTGACTGAACCTTAAACACAACTAAGTAATCCTGTTTGGAATTCTAATGTAAATAGTTTGTTAATTCTCACAGCTCTTAATATTATAGAATAGTTTTACATTAATTCTACACATCTTTGATATCTCCATAACTTTAAATACTAATATCAAATGTACAACTTCCAGCTTTCCCTCCCAAATACTAGAAAGCCTTGATACCTACTAAAAAAAATAGTTTTTTATAAATTCTTAATAAAAATGTTTAATTTTATAATCTAGAATTCAGATGATATTGTAAAATATATTAATAAATAAGACAATATCATATTCATATTATTAAAGTAGATGATTATACCATCTATAATCATTACTTTAACATTAAATCTTATATTAGAATATTATTTGCTTATTTAATTTTAAATGGAACTGAAAAAAATTTAGTTGATTGAGCTTATTAAATTATATTCTTTAAGAGCAAGGAATTTATAGTATTTCAATTAATTAAAAATTAATTTTAAGGGAAATATTAAATATTTATTTCCTTCTATCAGACGATCCCATTGGAATTTATTTTAGTCAAAAAGTAGTTAATTAAAATTTATTGTCCAACGATCTTAGATTCTCAGAAAACTCAGAAAGATTTATTAATTGATAATAATATTTATAGTTCCATTATTTCCTGTACTTATTATTTATTTTTACACAATCCTGCATCCGTTTTGATTTAATTTAATTTTTTATAAAAGATCTGAAAAGAAAATTTCAATTTTTCATATTACCTCAATTTTTTAATAGAGGATAACTCATGGAGATAATTTTAGCCTACTATTTTGAGCTAAATTTAATTAGTATGCTTTAAAACTTTTTATAAGTATTGTATAATATATGTTAGGCTAATGATAAAAATTCACATATTAAGATTCTGATAAGTTAAATTAATTCTACTATTATGGTTTATGTTACTATCAAACTAATTATTTGAAATTAATGGGGATTATAATTACCCAAAATTGTAAATCTCTCAGCACATGCAATTAATGTTTGTTATAATTGATTCCTACATAATTTTCATTCAACATATAATTGAAACTCTATGCTGAAAAATTCCAATTTCTACCCAATAATTACATTTTATTTTATCAAAATATACATAATTTAAGGGTAACAATAATAATTAACATTTTTTAATGAAAAGTATCTTTGGTCTTTTATTTCTTAAATATAATTTTGTCATAAAAATATGAATATTCATGCATTTATTAAGTGAAGTAATAATTTCCCAAAACCAAACTATATTTTAGATAGCTTTAGTCAAGTGCTTTAAAGTTTGGAATATTTTTACAAGTTTGAGTCTTGTGATATTGATGCTAAATTTGGATATTGCATTAATTATCTATTTATCTAATTTATAATTTGATTTTAATTATATATTTAAAAGTAAGGACTTAGAAAGAATTATAGTGGTTTTTAATTTAATTGATAGAAAGCCATCAATAAGTGATTGATTTATTTATAATTATATTAATAGTAAAGAAGTTTAATTAATGATACTAAAATATGATTCATCAAATTGAATTAATAGAAGTAAAAATAACTAATTAATCTTTTATTAAAATATTACGAGCGGTCGAAAAAAGATGGAATTAAATAAGATATTTTTAATTGATTATCCTTTCTTTTAATAAATCCTTTCATTTAAATTTGAAAGTTTATAATTTCCTTAGATTTGAGGTAAAATTATAATTGTATAATTAATTTTTTATTATTGATGGGTGCTATTTAATTAATTCACTAAATATCTTACAATCTTAACGACTCTTCTAAATTTTAAGTTATTTTACTATTAGAATTTGAATAATAATTTAAAATATTAAAAAAAATAAAATAAATGGATAACAATTTTGAAGATATTGAATGGCAAGATGGTTAATTATAAATAAATTTCTCTGTAGTAAATGCACAAAATAATGAAATTCACTATATTTTAGATGGAAGCATTTTGAGAACTTAAGTAAGAGTTTACTACTATATTATTGAAAATTGAACCTGATGGTCAAGCAGAAATTATAATAAATCCATATCAAATTAAGTACTTAAAATGGGAAGGATTGATAGGAAATAATAATTAAAAGGTAGGCAAATGGATTCCTTATTGGAAAATGTAAGGATTATTTTTAGGAGGAATATATGATAATTTAGGATTGAGATAAGGAATTTGGAAAGATTTGGACGAAAATTTTTGGGAGTAATATTTGTATATTCACTTTTATTAGTTAAGCCTAAATTATTTAAAGAGGACAATATTTCAACTCAAAAAAAATTGGAAGATGGAAAATTATTAATAAAAATTAGATAATGTAATTTTATTAAATTTGAAATTTAAGTGGAGGAGGTTAATATGATGATTATAGGTAAAAAATAGGAAAATGGAGTGAATTATATAGAAACTTTTTCTCTCATAGTTCATCCATGTGTGATATTATCCATGAAGGGGAGTATAAAGATGGAAAAAAAATTGGATATTGGATAATATTGGCTATGAATTAAGAAATGTATTCAATTAAGATTGAATTAATTTAAGTGGAGGAGGCTTATATAATGATTTAGGATTGAAGAATGGATTATGGGTTGAATTTAGCAGTGGTTTACAAAAGTATGAATTGATATTGAATCTTTATTATTCAGTTCTAGTCAATTTATTTATAAGGGAAATTATTTAAATGGTTTAAAGTAGGGTTAATGGAATACTTACTTTAGAGATCCGTTTTTTTATAAGAAGTTTGAATTAATGTAAAAATTCAAAATTTATCAATAGAGGAGGTGGACGATATGATAACAATGGATTCAAAGATGGATTATGGATAGATATAAACGAAAGTTTCCATAAGTATAAAGATTAAGTCCATATCTTTTTTAGACTAAATCAATTCACTTATAATGGAGAGTATAAAAATAATAAATAACATGGTCGCTGGTATATAATGTATAAAAAACAAAGAGGGCAACAGTTCAATTAGATGTAAAATTTGATTATTTCATCAATAACTTTTTCTAGAGGTGGCGGATCCTTTAATTAATATGGGATGAAAGATGGCATATGGGTTGAGTTTGCAGATTGGTATGCGAGGTATAACTAATAAAAATATTATAGTGAAAGCTTGGTAATGTTTAGAGGGGAATATCAGAATTCACAAAAATTTGGTAGATGGGATATTCGATTTAAATATGGGAATTTTTATGATTATTAATTGATGTAAAAAAAAAAAAAAACCAATAATTAGTGGTGGTGGAACTTATGATATTAATGGATTGAAATAAGGTTAATGGATTGATATGAATGAACATTCTTACACTCTTAATAGTTTGATAACTTATAATGGTGAATACAAAGATAATGTTAAATAAGGATTTTGGAAAACAATGTTTTGGAGTTATCTTACTATGGCTAATTTTGAACAAAGGTATTAATTTAAAGCATAAATTATTAAAGTGGAGGTGGATCATTTAATCAATGTGGAATGAAGGACGGCAAATGGATAGAACTTCATCCATAATTTTCTTTATACACACAAATTATCCATATTGGTGATTATAGAAATGGATAAAAATGTGGCAAATGGGACACTTGTATTTTGGAGACAAAATCTAATAAATTCGAAAAAATGTAAAGATTATCAATACTGAATGTAATAGTGGAGGAGGTTGGTATGATTTGGATGGAGTCAAGTATGGTATATGGGTGGATTTAATTGATAAGGCTACTATGTATATTTTGAAGATCTTATTATTCTAGATTTAGTTCTATAACATTTAGAGGAGGATATATAAATGGGAAAAAAAGTGGAAATTGGATTATTATGCATCGAGATTAAAATTTTAATTACATATAAATGTATGAATTATTAATTCTTTAATAATTTTAGTGGTGGAGGATCATTCGATTAGAATGGATTTAAAAACGGTATTTGGATTGAATTAGGAGGTGATTATTATAAGTATGTAGTATTGTTTCATCTAATTATTAGAGGAAAATTAGAGACTTTTAAGGGTGAATATAAATAAGGCTAAAAATGTGGTATATGGGAAGTATATTCAATATATAAAATAATGTAAAACTAATTATTATTTGGAGAAAAAATATAATTAAGTATGATGAGAATGAAATTATGTCTATAATCAAATGATTCAATAAATTATATGAGAGAATTTATCAATTTCTTTTTATCTGCTTATAATGTTGTTAGACTAAAGTTGAATTTGATTTTTTACTTTAATAAAGAAAAGTTTATTAAATTAATATAAAATGATTTTTTTTGTTAAAGTTAAAATGATTAGATTTAAAATTTTATCAAAAATGTATATCAATTAAACTAAATATGGTAGGCTATTTGTTAAGAAGATTTAAATAGAAGTCTCATAAGGCATTTATTATTAACTAGAAAATCAAATTATTAGTAAAATATATTTATTTAATCAATTATTTCAGTATTTGAAATAGTTCGAGATTCATATATTAATATCTTTACGATAATTCAAATTGGATTTGATTTAACAAACTATTTAATGTTGTTTGATTTATGATTGAAATATATTTTTGTTCTGATATTTGAGTGAAAATAGATAAAAAGATTTACATTGCACCCTCACTTACTTCTAATCAATATTAATCCTATAATGGTTTTTACCAATTACTATGTTAGAAAAGTGCTTAATATTATCGTTTAAGCCTTGTAATACATTAGTGAATTTGAAGCACAAAACTATTTATAATTTATTAAGATATAAGTGAAAATCTACCTCTTTATTCAATACTATAATTTATATAATCCATCCTTTTAATATTTAAAATAGTTAAGCAGGTATGCATAGATAATATTTAATACATATATTGTCACCTTTTTCAAAAACAATTAGTAAATAAATTGTTTTTAAAAAATAAATAGTCTTTTCTTAAATTTATAAATGATCCATCTTGTAGTTCAATTAAAAAGAAAACTGAAAATAAATTTTTCTAAAAAGATTCGGCATAAGTTAGAATTCAGATTGAAATTTACTTTCTATATGATACTTGCTGAAATCTTTTCTTCTATAATCAAATGTTTATATATTGTTAATTTAAAATTACATCTTAAAAACTAACTGTCTACTGATATGTATTTTAAATTTGAGCAATTATTACTAATATGAGGTAAAATTTAAAATTGCTTAAATCTACAATTGAGGAATTTATCGTTCATATTTAAAGTAATAATTTCAATTTTTAATTGTGATTTAACTTTTAATTTATAATTATTTTAGAATAGATATATTATAATATAAATGATCCCTTAAAATATTTTTAGAATTAAAAATATATTAAAATCATAAGCTAAAAGTGCTAATTAAAACATTAACTTAATTCATTAAATTGCATTTCAACATGAAATAAATTCATAGCTTAGAAGAATGAATGCTACCTAATTTATCACAATAATTTGGTTAAAATAATAAGGAAAATATAAACAGCGTTTTGGAACTAATTTTTCTGAGATATACAGTTAAAGATGATTAATTTAGGATTTACTTTAAATTTTAATAAATATAAGCTCATTTAATGTCTGTTCTTTATATTAAATTCTTAGAATTCTCAAACAACATAATATAGAATTAATAAATGGTAAGTTGATTTTGAATCGAAAATTTTAAGAAGATCATTATTATAAAAGTTGTCGATTGAAATAAATAAATTTTTATGTCAAAATGGGAAAGAGTTCTAATACCTCTTAGTCTTGATCAGAAATCATTCATATCACCTAGTTTAGCAAATAGCAACCATTATGATTATTGTCAGTTATTTTGATAACATACATAAAATAAAAATGATCTAATAAAATCCTAAACCTTATGATCTCTATTCTTTTACATTTCCTCAATTTTAGGTTTAAAAAAATAGTAAAATATCATAGTCGTTGAAGAAATTATTTTTGAGATGGGTCCGGTTGATTTATAAAATAAGTTTACAATAGAAAAAATAGAATTAGAGAATAATTTTATATTCTATATCTTATGATGAATATTCATTTAAAGTGAAGCACATTTATTTCTATATTTCAAAGAAAAAATTACAACTAAAAAAAAAATTATCGAATTGAAAGAATTCTTAGAAAATTCTTTTCTAATTCTTTAAAAATATTTCTATTTTGTAATGGTTTATTTTTTTAAATAAATTCTTACAATATTTAATTACAATCAACTCAATAAAATTAATCAAATTAAAGAGATGTATTATTAATAACATTAAATCTCAATTTTGGTTCTAAATTCAATCTCTCTTTAGATGATTATTTTGTTATTTCAGATTTCTTGATTGATTTCTATGTAGTTTAACATTTGAAATATTTAATAAACCCTAAAGATATTGAACATAATAGTTAGTTAAGAAATCCAAGATTTAGATGGAATAATTTTTGTTTTTTCCTATAAAATATTTATTACTTTTTATTAAATTAACTTATACTATTTCAAATAAAAATCATTCTTTGTTCTATAACTTTTCAAAATTGATGGAAGATATCTAAAGTGAAAATCTTTTCTTTATTAATAATAATATTTATTTATTAATAATAAAAATTGTTAGCCCTATTTTCTCACTAATCTATTTTTTATTTATTCATAATTCCTTAATGAAAATCTATGGTTCATTGAGCCAATTACTCTCTCAAATTTTCTCATGTATGATAGTAAAATATCAATATTTTAAAGAATCTATTTTAGACTTTTTCTCTTATTATTATTAGTGTTCATCAAGTAATTTTGATGTAAAATATTGCCCTAGTGATTTTGTTTATTTAAATACAAATAATTCTTAATTTAAATCCTAAGTTTTCAGAAATTACTAACAAGATGATGTGAGTGGAATCATGAATTATCTTTTGTATTTATTTTAATTTTGTATTATTTAATAACTCTATGATCAAATTCTTAAATGTAAACTTAGGTTGTCCTGTTATGAAATTAATTCAGAGACTTTTTCATTTCTAATTCAAATATATATATATAGGGATTAAAAAGATTTAAAAACCGTTCTATTGTCTTTTTTTCATCCAATTATTTGTAAAAAGGAATTCGGAGAGATTTTAAAAAATGTGTTTGTGAGCTTTTTGGAAGTTAAAAGGAATGTAAATTTTGGTTGTGTATTTTGGAAAATAATTTTTTCACTTGATAGATTGCAGCATATTTGATAAAGGTAATTTTTAAGAATCGTCATATAAATGTGTATTTGATGGTTCAATTTGCTTATAATTTTTAGAATGTAGAGTTATAAATTAGAGAATGAATGTGCTAATAAAAATTAGTATTGTAATTATTGCTTTTGGTTTGTGGGGAAGTGAAAAATAATCTATTTTCACTTTATGCAAAGTGTTTCCGATATATTTAACAAATAATAGCATATGCAAAGAATGTTTTGATGGTTTTATTATAAGCGAATATGGTTATGGACTTATCGAATAAATGGAGTCATGTTCATATTATGTTAATGTTTTGAAAGTAAAAGAATATTGTTTTGGAATAAAACTAAAGCAAAATGTGTTGAAAAGGTGTGTGAAAATCTACCATTTATTTAGGATTATTAATGTAAGTCATATTGAATTGATTGTAAAGTATGCATACAACTTAAGGAATTCATTTTGTCAAAGGAAATAATGAAGTAATGCATAGAATAAGTTTGTTTGTGTATCTATATCTGCGACACTGCTCCAAATTCACTCTCAAATTATCGATTATGATAATCTTTTAAATTGAGACTGATAACATTCATTGTATTTCAGAAATAAAGGGACGTAAAAATAGACCTAATCATGTAAAGGTTTTGCTTTTAAAATTGGTTGCTAATCAATAAACTAATTAGACTGTGTATAGTATGAAAATAAATGTGAATAAAAATAATATTATCATTCTCCAATTTATTCTAGTTATAGAGATTGTCCCCAATCTGCAAATGATATAGATAATTTAATGGAGGATGTTAAATTATACCTTTTCCATATGAAGTTATATTGATTTTATAGGTATGGGTATTTTTATTTGGCTTGAATCCATATTGTTAGAATTTATAAATAAATAGAATGAAATAATAAAAGTAATTAGTTAAATAAGAATGTGTAGTGTGAATTCCAAAATGCATACATTTCGATATTTTTACCACTACTCAACCATCAAATTAATGTGAAGTAATTACTGAAAGTAAAAGTGATGAATTCTGTCGATTATCTAAAACTTTTGTGTTGGTGAGGATAATATCAATATGTAATTGATATATATGACTTTTACAACTAGATGTCCTGAGAATACTGATTGTTCCCAAAAAATTTTTTTTAGTAGGTGATACGTCTTTAAGTTTTTGTTACTCTAGTTACTATTTCAGTTTATAATAATAAAACAGAATTTTACCTTTTAATCTTTAGCCACCCTCTCAGACAAATATCAATAATGTTAAGACTATTCATTTTCATAAAGGTATGATACAAATTGATATTACTGTGTATTATCGACTTCATTTGCTTTGAAGATAGGTTCATAATCTCTTTTTAATTCATCAATTAATCAATATAGAATATAATTTGGATATAATTAAAAGAAAAAATATAATCCAATTTGAAAAGAAGTTATGGTTATATTTTACTAAAATTCACAAATTTTTTAGTGTTCAGTTTACACTTATAAATGTTCTAATAATAGTTACTGTAGTTCAAGTATTATTTAATTCATTTCTGAACGAATACCTTAATCGATTATCACTGTAGCATGGCTTAACCTAAATCACATTAAGATTGCAACAGTGTAAGTTTTTGATAAAAAATCTAATTTACAATAAGCACAAAGTGNGACTGATAACATTCATTGTATTTCAGAAATAAAGGGACGTAAAAATAGACCTAATCATGTAAAGGTTTTGCTTTTAAAATTGGTTGCTAATCAATAAACTAATTAGACTGTGTATAGTATGAAAATAAATGTGAATAAAAATAATATTATCATTCTCCAATTTATTCTAGTTATAGAGATTGTCCCCAATCTGCAAATGATATAGATAATTTAATGGAGGATGTTAAATTATACCTTTTCCATATGAAGTTATATTGATTTTATAGGTATGGGTATTTTTATTTGGCTTGAATCCATATTGTTAGAATTTATAAATAAATAGAATGAAATAATAAAAGTAATTAGTTAAATAAGAATGTGTAGTGTGAATTCCAAAATGCATACATTTCGATATTTTTACCACTACTCAACCATCAAATTAATGTGAAGTAATTACTGAAAGTAAAAGTGATGAATTCTGTCGATTATCTAAAACTTTTGTGTTGGTGAGGATAATATCAATATGTAATTGATATATATGACTTTTACAACTAGATGTCCTGAGAATACTGATTGTTCCCAAAAAATTTTTTTTAGTAGGTGATACGTCTTTAAGTTTTTGTTACTCTAGTTACTATTTCAGTTTATAATAATAAAACAGAATTTTACCTTTTAATCTTTAGCCACCCTCTCAGACAAATATCAATAATGTTAAGACTATTCATTTTCATAAAGGTATGATACAAATTGATATTACTGTGTATTATCGACTTCATTTGCTTTGAAGATAGGTTCATAATCTCTTTTTAATTCATCAATTAATCAATATAGAATATAATTTGGATATAATTAAAAGAAAAAATATAATCCAATTTGAAAAGAAGTTATGGTTATATTTTACTAAAATTCACAAATTTTTTAGTGTTCAGTTTACACTTATAAATGTTCTAATAATAGTTACTGTAGTTCAAGTATTATTTAATTCATTTCTGAACGAATACCTTAATCGATTATCACTGTAGCATGGCTTAACCTAAATCACATTAAGATTGCAACAGTGTAAGTTTTTGATAAAAAATCTAATTTACAATAAGCACAAAGTGCACAGTCAAATTATAAATATATTCGGATTGTACATATAAAGAGGCTTGCGAAAAAAAATATATAATTAAGACTGTTATAAGTATTCTAATGCTTATTAAAATATCTGCGATGTTGCAGTTCATTTGATGTTACCCCATTCAAACTCATATAGACATCGTTTGAATGCTTCTTGCATGTAACTAAACTGTTAGGAATGCCAATTTCTATTATTTTCATTTAAACAGCGGATGCTAACTGCTATTTTTACTGAAAAAATGCTTTTGGGATGGTTAACCCTGTTAATGCCTTAGTGATTATCAATTATTTAAAAAGATTATTTTAATTAATACTGTTTTAATTAATACATAGGTTTTTGTGGAAATTGTTTTTATTCAAGTATAGAAGAAGAGTGTGATGATTGTAATTCTACATATGATCAAAATAAATATGAGCATTATGGAAATTTACCATAAGATTAAAATGTTTGTTGCAAATGCCTAGTTTAATGTCCATAAGGATGTAATATTTGTAATTGTAGAATATGTAAAGATAGTTAAAAGAATGGGTGGTTATTGATTAATGAAGTTTGCCCTTTAAAATTTGCGAATGGTTATATAGTAGGAGGCGAATTATGTGATGATGGAAACTATTTTGAATTAGAGTACGTTGTTAGTGTTCCTTTTCTTATTTACCAGAAGTTTCTTGATTGCTTCTAAGGGCTAAGTTTATAGTGCAAGATTGGATACTTAGAAGATAGATTATAATGTAGAATAGTTTGGAAAGTGGTTTAGGATCTATTAGAACAACAATCTCAAAACCAAAGGATTCTATTTTTTCGCAATTTGATTATTAATAATATTCAAATTTATTAATTGAATTTTATCTAGATTTTATAGCTTTACCAATATTAATATTCAAAGCATCATCTAAACTAAAGTATAAGTAATCTACAATATTTTCATACATAAGAGTTTTACGAAAAGGACTAAAAAAGAAACAGGAAAATTTTATTGAAAAAGTAGTGTCGGTTGATTAATCTGGAGCTAAGAGATCAAAACAAATTTGATTAATTCTTGTAATAAAACGATTTTATTAATTTACAAATTCTTTTCATAAAATAATACTCATTTCTCTTAGCATATATATTATAAATGGAAAAACTTAGATTTAACATCATATGTTTAATTAATAGAATATAATTGCAAAACCTTTAATTAGTCAATTTAATAGAACATCCAATCATAATATTCATATTATCAAATATGAGCGTTAAAAGATTTATTCATCTAGAATTTAGATTTGGAATGAAAGAAATATAGAATTTATTTGAGAATTGAAAAACCTCTACTTTATCAAAATTGATTTTGAATACTATAATAAATTTCGATAAAACAAAAATTTCTATTACCTTTGATTAATCTTGATTGATCATCTTTGTAATTTTATAATGAAATTTATCCTATAATAAATGAATATTGTGAACCTTTATTGTTATATGCATTTTATATTTTGATTTCATATTTTTCCTTCTCTACAATGTTAAAATGGGTAATGCTAAATTTATAAATTAATTACTAACACTTAATCATATTGTAAGTTGATTTTCTTATTATTAATAATTAAGAAATATTTTTTAACCTTAATTATAAAAGTAGTTAAAATTTATTGAATAATTTATAAATTATAATTTTGTAATTTTAAACCTACAAAAACATAATAATAGATAACATTGATTTCCTGCTTTTTTTTATTCAGTTTTTTTCTATAGATCTTAATGCAATTAATCTCATTTTGAACAGGTTAATTCATTTGTAGAAATGCAAAATTAAAGCATTTTAGTCCTAAACTATTAATTTTGTATTTATATAACAATACCAATTTATGATACCTTTTTCTTCTTCTACAATTTCGTCAATAGATTTGCTTTAAATTATTTAATAAATTATGGGTAATTTCTTAACTAATTAATTTAACTTTTAATTTATCTAATTGATGAGATCATCATAAGAATACAGTTATTCTAAGCTAAGAAGTGATAAATGATAATTTTGTAATAAACAATAAGAAGGTTTATCGAAATATTACCTTGAATAGTATTTTTAAAAATCACTCAAACTTATTTGTTTTAACTTTTTTATAGCTTAGATGAATTTAAGGATTAACAATATTTTGTAAATTCTTGTCATACCTTTTGATTATTTTTGTTATTGTATAAAAGAATAAGTAATTATTAAATATCTTTTTCTATTTATAAATTAAAAGACTAAATTAAAAAATTATTAATTATAACTTTTTAAACCAATCCTTTTTATAAAGTCAAATAAATTAAGTAAACCTAGGATAATATCCTAGATGATTTAAAAAGAATAACATAATTATAATTTACTTTGGATTTTCTTTAAATAGTTATTTCACAATTTCTATTAGTCTCTTCTTAGTCGGTTGAGAATTTATTTAATGTAGTATCATTTAAATTTAAATCTCTATAAATATTATTTGATAACAGTTTTACATCTCAATATTTATTCCCTACACTTGACTATTTATTTTATTAATATTAAAATAAAGGACATATAAATTAACTGAATTGGAATAAATCTTAGGAAAAGCATGTACTCAAATATTTTAAGAACTTTAAAAGTCATAATTTTAAAATATTAAATATTGATATTGATTGTAATTATAATTATGTTGTTGTTGATAATAATCAAATTAACTTTCACTTAAAATCTTCTAAAAGGTAAATTCTTTTGGATTCTAATAAAGGTCTTAAATCGTAACCCTAATAATTTGCAAAATATCCTTTTAAGATTAGAGCTCCTTATGCTTAAAATAATGGTGTATGAGATATTCGTAGTATTGTAAAATAGCTTGATGCTAAAAAATAATAATGAAATAAATACATGATATAGGATGGTTTTAAAAAATTGATGTTTTAAATTAAGCTAAAATATTGCTATAACTTTCGTTAGCGGATGAAAATTATTTCCCATTCTTAACATTACGTAAGCGGATAGACTAATCATCAATACCAGATGCTATTGTATTTTCATCAGGAGAGAAACAGACTGACATAACATAACCACTATGACCTTCCAATTACTCATTTTATTATTCTGTTTTGACATCCCATAGAAGAATAGACCTATCTGCACTGCCAGAAGCTAATTAATTTCCATCAGGTGAGAAAACAACTGACAATACATATCCATTATGACCATCTATTTTGGCTTTTTATTAACCTGTTTTGACATCCCATAGACGAATAGACCTATCTGCACTACCAGAAGCTAATGAATTTCCATCAGGAGAGAAAACAACTGACAAAACATATCCACTATGACCATCCAATTTGGCTTTTTCTTATCCTGTTTTAACATCCCATAGACGGATAGACTTATCATCACTACAAGATGCTAATGTTTTTCCATCAGGAGAAAAACAGACTGACCAAACTCCACCCCAATGACCATTTAATTCAGCTTTTTATTATCCTGTTTTGACATCCCATAAACGGATTGGCCTAACTTCACAACCAGAAGCTAATGAATTTCCATCAGGAGAGAAACAGACTGTTCGAATATCATGAGTATGACCATCTATTTTGGCTTTTTATTAACCTGTTTTGACATCCCATATACGGATAGACCTATCTGCACTACCAGAAGCTAATGAATTTCCATCAGGAGAGAAAACAACTGACAAAACATATCCACTATGACCATCCAATTTGGCTTTTTCTTATCCTGTTTTAACATCCCATAGACGGATAGACTTATCTACACTACCAGATACTAATGTATCTCCATCAGGAGAGAAACAAACTGTTCTAACATCATGAGTATGACCATTCAATTTGGCTTTTTATTATCCTGTTTTAACAACCCATAGACGGATAGACTTATCATCACTACAAGATGCTAATGTTTTTCCATCAGGAGAGAAACAAACTGACCAAACTTTATCCCTATGACCATCTAATTCGTCTTTTTATTATACTTTTTGGACATCCCATAGACGGATAGAGTTATCGGCACTACCAGAGGCTAATGCATTTCCATCAGAGGAGAAACAGACTGAACAAACTTTATCACTATGACCATCGAATTAGGCTTTTGATTAACCACTTTTGACATCCCATAGACGGATAGAGTAATCCTAACTACCTGATGCTAATGTATTTCCATCAGGAGAAAAACAGATTGGGTAGACAATACTAGTGTGACCATCTAATTTTGCTTATTATAATCCTGTTTTAACATCCCATAGACAGATAGACTTAACATCACAAGATGCCAATGTATTTCCATCAGGAGAGAAACAAACTTATCTAATAAAAAAACTAGGAGCATCTAATTTAGCTTTTTATTATCCTGTTTTGACATCCCATAGACAAATAGAGTTTATTAGACTACTAGATGCCAAAGTGTTTCCGTCAGAAGAGAAACAGACTGAGTTGATACAACTGCCATGACCATCTAATTTGGCTTTTTATTATCCTGTTTTGACATTCCATAAACGGATAGACTTGTCATCACTGCCAGATACCAATGTATTTCCATCAGGGGAGAAGCAGATTTATACGACATAATCATCGTGACCATCTAATTTTGCGCTTTTTTTCTTAGTCTTCACGTCCCATAAACGGATAGACTTATCACGGCCACCAGATGCTAATATATTTCCGTCAGGAGAGAAACAGACTGAATTTATGCAATCAGTATGACCTTAGAATTAGGCTTTTTATTATCCTGTTTTGACGTCCCAAAGACGAATAGACTTATCTGAACTACCGGAAGCTAATGAATTTCTATCAGGAGAGAAACAGACTGAATTTACTGAATTTACATGGCCATTCAATTAATTTAATTCTTGAATTCTTAAGTATTTCCATTTACAATTAAATAATTAAGCTCCATTTAAATTTATTCCACTTATGTTAACATTATTAAATTAGGATCCACTTAAAGTACACTTAACAAAATTAGCTCCTACTAAAGAAGTATTTTATATCTTAATATTTTCAAAATTCTTATTTCGAAGATCAACTTTCATCTTAACTAATACATGTAATGAATTAGACCCACATTATATTAAAGTTTTATCTATGGATGTCAGGTAAACTAAAAATTACAAAAATTCTATAATCTATCCTATATCCTTGATGATATTAATTAGATGTAATGTAGACTCATAATTTTCATCACTGGAATAGTCTTAGTTATTGAAGTCATGAACTTTTAATTTTTTTAAGACATCTGTAATTTATTTCACGTCATTTATAACAACAGAAAATTTCTATTCTCTATCGGTTTTGGTTGAATTCTCCGCTTGTTGTAAGTAAGATTGATATAACTTTCTTTGATTCCCAATGTCTTAAAGATATCCAATGCAGTCTTAAACTTTTTCCTTTCGAAATATTTCTAATATGACACCAAATATTTTTTCATCTGAGTCTTTAACTTAAGTAAAGATGTCAGCTAAAGCTTGCTCACCTTAAAAAGGACCCTGCATTTTATTTTTTTATTTTTAATATTGAATTTCCATTTCTCTAACTTTTAGTTATATTCTGCAAAATCAATAAAAATATCTAATCAAGATTTGATATTGATTATAATTAAGGTAAAAAATGCCAAAAAAATTCAATTCTCCATTTATAATTCTTGACTCTTGAAGAATATAGAATAACTAATAATTATATCAACAAGTTAATTTAAATGAAATTAAATTTGAGTTATATTACTGATTAATTCATTTTTTTTTTTAAGTATAAATAATTGATATTGGAATATTTAGAAAAACTTCATGTTTTTTATTTTAATTATGATTATTGGATTTAAAGTTGTAGCAAAATATGTTATTCTTATTGCTTCTAAATGAGAATGCAAGCTTTAATATTAGATAAAAGACTTTGGTAAGTAATAAAATAAGGAAAAGTTTAATAAATTGAGAAATACTATTTCGAATTATTAGTCATATTTATGTTAAAGGTTTACTTGACTATTTCCCAGAATACTATTTTCTCTTCTTTATTACCTCAGTGGCATACCACCTATGAACCCCTACTCTTGTTTAAATAGAGGGTATGTGTAACACCAAAAACAATTGTGTTAACACCATCACAACCTTAAAAAAAAAACCATACAATACCTGTCACAACCTTAAAATCAATTTGTAACAATAGTCGCAACACCAAAAAGCTTAGGAATAAAGTAAAATGTACTTTTTAAAAATAGTCCTCATTATTGTTAAGTTTGGTTTTGATATGAATATGAGGTTTCATAATTCATTTAAGAATTGAATTAACTATTAATTGGTGTCCTTATATGTAAGAAATTTAAATACATAAATTTTATAAAGATGTGTTTGTTGAAATATTTTATAAATGAAATTATTTTTCAAATATTCATAATTGAAAAAAAATAATTGATAATAAGATCTACTTTTCTGGCAGGTCAATTTTTTCTTCAGATTTTTGTAATGACCATAAAGATATATGAATGGGACCTTCACCATGAGTATATAGATAAGATATATTATAAAAATATATATTAAAATTATTTTTAAAGAAAATTATTCGACTGCGTAAAGCCGGAAGTAAGTTGAACAAGGGGTTAAGGATGCAAGTTCATAGTAAAGACTCGAAACTAGGAGGGGCTATAAGAGAATGGTTATACCTAGGCTTCTCAAACAGCTATGGAAGAGATATCTATCTTTTGTTCAGAAATATGACGTCAGGCCGATCATCAGTCGGTCAGTGCTCTAGTCCTAGAAACCTCCGTATGGTTTCAAGTACATCCCCAAGGCTCTCATCTTTTCCGAATCTGGCTTCCCTATGCAACAGATTGGAAAGACAAGTTTGTTGTTCTAGAACCTTCTTTAGCGAGAATTTTTATTACAAGGTTATAAATTTAGAACTTCATTAATGAAGAGTATTCGTGGAGCACTAATAAACACAGAATCTTTCAATTAAAAATGATTCCAATAAAAATTATCCTTACATATCATTCAATTAAATTATTATAATAATAATTATTATTAAATTATTTTTAAAGGAATAACCGAAAACAAAATCTTCCCACTTTTAGAAAACCTTTTAGAAAAAAGAACATTAAAATTGCTTCCACATTTTTAATCAGACTAGATGAGATATAAAGATGAAGCGCTTAGATTATATCTTAAAATTGTAAAGGCTTTGAATTGATGTTTGACTTATTGACATGTCAAAAGAATAATATTTTAAAAGTAAAGGTTTTAGGTCAATCTATTATTAAATTAAAATTGAACATAAAATTTCAATAAAAGTAATAAAAATTACTATTTAATTTTCAACTATTTACTTATTATAATTAAACTAACATATTTGTTAATTAAAATTTGGCTATGAGATATTTTTTTGGAAGTTTATAAATATATAGATGATCTCTGCTCGAAATGAATTACTTAAATTTGATATTTTTAATTCGATTTACAGATTATGATGGATCTAATACAATAAAATTCATAATCAGAAAGACTGGTTTAATAAATTTTACTATAAATTTTATTTTGCCAAAAGGCATGACTCGAAATTATAAAGTAAATCTTTGTCAGAAAATGTTTTATTTTTCTTCTATAAAATATTTTAGGCAAAAATGAAATTGTTATATTAATGGAATATAAGTCTGATTAGTTGTACTAATACTAATGATGATTAATGAAAAATCATATCCTAAAAAATTGAGATATTACTTTTGGTTCTTTTAAAAAATTGTTTCTGCATAAATCCAATTCGAAGCTATTAAAATATTACTTCTTTTAATATTGTTTATTAATTAAATTAAATAATTAAAATCTTTTTATTTTATTATTAATTGATAATTAATTATTATTTTAAAGCATTTTTCGTTTATTTAATTGTTTATTTTCTTAAAAGTATTTTAATACATTTAATATATTTTGATGACTTTTAAAAGTTGTTAATTAGATTGATGGAATGATAATATGAAAGATATAAAGAACAAAATTCAAATATATTTGATACTTAGATTATGCTGAAGATTTTAATGATTATTTATTTTTTATTGAATAATATGTAAAAGTTTAAGATAATTTAAAATGGAGTTCAAAGTCACCATTAAAAAATATGTGGTTGGAATTTGTAAAGTATCAATTTGGAAATAAATGACTCATTTATTAAAACACAATGATATTGTTATAAACCTAGAATTAATGAAACATTTAATATCAAAAGGATAAAAAAATTAATAGAATAATTAAAAAAAAGGAAAAATGGACAATTTTTTTTTTGTAGGTAATAAAGAATAAATGAAGGCGAACCATACAATGAAATTGGGCTAAAAGTTGAAAATGGTTAAATTTGTTTGAAACTTTTGGGAATTAGAGCTCTAATAGAAAAGCCAAAATATTTTATGAAGGAGAATATTAAGATGGGAAAAAAATTGGATAGTGGAATAGTATATATTTAGAGAAGATAATGTAAATATAATTAAAGAAATATAGAGGAGGAGGTTATTTTAATGATGATGGATTAAAGACTGGAAAATGGATTGAATTACATCCTAATTTTTATGAGTACATTATTTAGATATATAATGAAGATTATCTGAAATGTTTTACGTTGGGGAATATCAATTAGGAAAAAGAATTGGATTTTGGAATTTAATTAATAAGAAGAAATAAATGTAAAAAATTGAATTATTTTATAGAGGTGGAGGAGTTTATAATGAAAATGGATTAAAAGATGGTAAATGGATTGAACCACACGAACATTATTTTAAGTATTTAATCGTTTTCAATATCAGCTTTTGTTAAGTAATATTTGTTGGTTCATATTAAAATGGAAGAAAATGTGGAAAATGGGAAACTTTGCACTAGCAACTAGGAAATATAAATTATATTGTTATTGGTGGAGGAGTATATGATGATTTTGATGTTAAAAATGGAATGTGGAAAGAGCTGCATGCTAATTTTTAAGAGTACATAAATTTTTATTGTTAAGTTTTTCAGTAGTAATTAATGAAGGACTTTATTAAGATGGTTAAAAAATTGGAAATTGGAATACTTTGTATAGAAAATATGGAGATGAAGAATTTTAGACTATGTAACAATAAAATTTAATCTTTAGAGGATCAGGATTTTATGATGAAGATGGTTATAAGAATGGAATTTGGAAGGAAGTAGATGTCAATTTTTGGGAGTAAATTTTTAATTAATATAAAATTAGTGAATGTATAGTATTTCATACTGGCTAATATCATAAAGGAAAGAAATTATACAAATGGGATACATTNTATCAATTTGGAAATAAATGACTCATTTATTAAAACACAATGATATTGTTATAAACCTAGAATTAATGAAACATTTAATATCAAAAGGATAAAAAAATTAATAGAATAATTAAAAAAAAGGAAAAATGGACAATTTTTTTTTTGTAGGTAATAAAGAATAAATGAAGGCGAACCATACAATGAAATTGGGCTAAAAGTTGAAAATGGTTAAATTTGTTTGAAACTTTTGGGAATTAGAGCTCTAATAGAAAAGCCAAAATATTTTATGAAGTAGAATATGAAGATGGGAAAAAAATTGGGTAGAATAGTATTTATTTAGAGAAGAAAATGTAAATATAATTAATTAAAATTAGAGGAGGGGGTTATTTTAATGATGATGGATTAAAAACTGGAATTAATTGAATCATATTCTAATTTTATGAGTGGTTAGTGGATTGAAGCACACGAGCATTAATTTAAGTATTTAATTGTTTTCAATTTCAACTTTGTTAAGGAATATTTGTTGGCTCATATTAAAATGCGGAAAATGGGAAACTTTGCACAAGCAACTAGGAAATATGAATTATATTGTAATTGGCGGAGGAGTTTATGATGAATTTGATTATAAAAATGGAATGTGGAAGGAGCTGCATACTAATTTTTTAGTGTACATAAATTTTGATTGTGAAATTTTTCAGAATTAATTAATGAAGGAAATTATAAAGAGGATTGAAAATTGGAAATCGGAATAATTTGTATATGAAGAATTTTAAACTATGTAACAATGAACTTCAATCTTTAGAGGATCAGAATTTTATCATGAAGATTATTAAAAGAGTGGAATTCGGAAGGAAGTGGATGTTAATTTTTGGGAGTAAGTTTTAATTAATATAAAATGAATGAATGTTTAGTATTTCATACTGGCTAATATCATAAAGGAAAGAAATTATACAAATGGGATACTCTTAATTAAAATTAATTAATGTAATTTAATAACTATTTAATAAAGATAATGGATAATACTATATTGAAGGTAAAAAACAAGGTAAGTTGATTGATATAGATGAAATTTCTCAAAGTAATTAAAAATAGATCTTAATTGAATAATACAACAAAAATGGATGAAAAGTTGGACTTGATCCACCCTAATATATTTTTGTAAAGTAATAACTTTAATCATGTAAATTTATATTGATAATGATATTGCTGGTGGTACATATGACGATGGTGAAATGGAAAATGGCATGATTTCTTTGATAATTACAGAGAGTAAAAATAATTATTAATTGATGTAGAAATTATTAAGTTATTTAGTAATATGAATGGAGAATGGAATGATATTTATAAACACTATAATTCATTAAATTTTCATAAAATGTACATTTTATTATATGTGTGAAGTTAGAGATGGAGGATAATATGATAACAATTGAAAAGAGGATGGGGTACAAGCATCTAATAAAATTTGAATATCTTAATTTGTCAAAAAAGAAAATAGAAGAAATTATAAAATATTAGAATTTCTGTACCTGCTTATTCTGAAAAGCTAGATATTAAAATAACTACTAATGTTTTCTTTATAAAACTTAATGAAATTAAATATTCTATTGAAATTCATCAATAGAATGATTTGATAATTAAGAAATTTTTATATCTTTTTTATTGTAGATATTTCTGTGATTAGTTAAAATTTTGTAAATTAATGAAAAAATTGTGAAAATATCAAATCTAGTTTAAGGGATGAAAATGAATCCTTAAAATTCCTATCAATTTACAAATTTAAACCCAAAAATATTATGCTAAGACAGAGATTTAAGTTTATCAAAATTAAGGATTAAATTTTATCCTATTTGAATTCATTTTAATAATGATTAGATAAGTTTATATAAAAGAAGAATTTTAAAGTATTATTATATTTTATAGTAAAAACCCTAACTATGATGATTACATCATATATTGAATTAATTTATAATTTAATCCTAAAGAAAGCAGAACTAAGATTTACCTTTTAATTTTAATTTAGGTAATTTCTTATTATTTGGCTTTATAAAATAAGAGAATGATCTTAAATAAGTATTATTTACACTCGAATAAATCCTTAAATTAGATTTATATGAAAAGATTATTGAAATTAAACTAATCATATAGTAGAAATGATTTAAATAAATGATAAGAATTACATGATTTTTAGACCAAATGCTTAAATATTAATCCATTTAATGTTATTTTTTAGAGTTTGTGTGTAGTATTTTATTTAATATCTTCAACGATTGTAAGGTTGATTCAGAAATTTATATATACTTAAATAAGAAAATTTTGGAGGTGAATATTTAGCTTTATGTCAATTAATAAAATTTATTATTATATGGATAATATTTAAGAAGCAATTTAATTATAAATATTATTATTGGTGACATAGATGAACTATATTTAATAAAGGATAATCTAAAATTAATAAACAGATACTCCAATATTTTTGTATTCAAAATATTCGAATGTATTCC